GGACTGGATAAAGATGCATAAAATAATCAATAAATTCGTCAGACGTAAAATAACGTTAAAATTAATCAGAGACAATTTATGTTCATAAAATGTATGTTGGCTGTGGCCAATGAAAGCCACCTGTGTGTGTTTTAAAACTTGTTTGATATTTAGTTACAGAGACATGGGAAAGAATAATGACTGAGGGGATTACTCCACAGCCTCGATGCTCTCATGTGGTTGTAGTAAACTTACAAAAGGAGGACCTACACAAGTCTAATAGTCAACAGTCCAAAGTCCCAACCTTGGGTATCCAAGAGAAGACGCCTCTCCCATCTCATCCACCGAAGTCCATCTCCATGTGCTTTGGTCAGCCATCAAACGATCCAGAAGATAAAAGACGAGAGACGAAATGTAAAAGCCACGTGGTATCCAGACTCTGTAGTAAACGAACTGGTGCTGTGGATGATGAGGATAGTACTGTATATATAACGACGTACAATCCTGGTACGGCTCAAGTCAATCTCAGGTCAGCTACCTTACTGTTTAACTTAAAATATAAAAAAAGAAAGCAAACAATAATTACACAAAAAGTATATTAGATTCCATTCAATACGAGGTTTCAACAACAGGATTAGTCGAAAACTGTAATTTGGCTAATATGAGGTTAGTCAAAGTGTCTGGAATACCACCAAATGGCATTACATGTTCCTACGTAAGGACAACTGACCTGAAACAGAAAATAAATTCAAAAAGGAAAGAAAAAAGAACATTTAAAATAATATGTCTGAAAGATATTCTAAATTTTGAAAATTCATTACGTATTCTTACGGTTAAGAGAGATAAAGCAGAAAGTAAGGGATAAACATAATAACACCACGGTTACTGTTTCTCTTACTTATAACAAACATTTATAGTTTCTATATATTTATGTTTTATCTATAACAGAAACATTGTCAATGTGAAAAAAAACTCCAACTTATAAACAAGAGCTCAGCTGTATAAAGTGGAGTTATCAGACACACAAGCCAAGTTAGAGGAAATAACTGAAGCAACCCTGTAATCCATTGTTACTTTTATCATTATTATGATCGTTAATATTATAGATATTCACAATAATGATAAAAGTAACAGTAGATTACATGGTTGCTTCAGTTGTTTCTGAACTATGCACTCAGTGTCACTAGTTTAGCTGTTGTCTATCAAACCCTGAATTAGCCAGTGACAAAATGTATTTCGTGCTCACTTTTTCGGAAAGACTAATTTTTAGTTTTCTTTCCAGACAAAGCCACGTTATACATCTGGTAAGGTTTATGTTTAGAAGCACATGGTTTGCATGCAACCTCGTGGTTAAGGTCACAGTCTAATATACAGAGCATTGCAGGTTCGAACCTACTCTAGGACCTACTGTGTTATATAAGTTTTTTGCGAGTAAATGCTCCTTTTTTATAGTATTCATAATTAAGTTAATATAAATGACAACCGTTACAGTAGACTCATTCACTAGTCTATTTTATTGTTGACAAACAAATGAAATGTCGTGGAAGTTTGGATGTTGTGTAATGTAGATACCAGTGTTTCAAAAGTCACTGCATTTATTCGAAAACATGATAGAAAAACAAGCAAGTTTTTCTTTACTTTGGCGATTTATATCTCTTACTACAAGAACAGATGTTAATCTTGTTTTCACATATGATCTAAGTTTGTTTCATACAGCGTTTTAATAGTGGAACGATGTTTCTAGTTTAGGTGTGACAATCTCCAGAGACATCAAACTATCTGTGCTCCATAAAGAGTCTCTGACTCTAACCCGCCAAATTATATATATAACTTTGCTATCAGAACTCCCGTACCTCTGGATCAAATTATTGGAAGTTTTTACCACTGCACGAGTTCTTATAGAACCTTTTTATTAGCTGAATGCCAGACAATTTGGCTCCAGACAAACCCTTTAAGTATTTGTTTGTTTGTTTGTTTTTGAATTTCGCGCAAAGCTACACGAGGGCTATTTGCGCTAGCCGTCCCTAATTTAGCAGTGTAAGACTAGAGGGAAGGCAGCTAGTCATCACCACCCACCGCCAACTCTTGGGCTACTCTTTTACCAACGAATAGTGGGATTGACCGTCACATTATAACGCCCCCACGGCTGAAAGGGCGAGCATGTTTGGTTGGATGGGGATTCGAACCCGCGACCCTCAAATTGCGAGTCGAGCGCCCTAACCACCTGGCCATGCCAGGCCCCCTTTAAGTAAGGAATTTCATGTAAATAAATAACTAACTAACTTGGTAAAATCTTTATTTATTTTCATCTAATTTTTGTTGATAAATAAAATGTTTAGCACAGTTTTTATTCCCAAACTGGGAAAAATATATTTCAATGCAAAACCGAACATTCGCTTAGATATAACGCCGATTAGATTAGTTGACAGTTAACAAGAGTTTGCACTGTGCTTCTATACTGCTATTTACTTGATCATATTTTTGAATTATTAGTTGTTATAATGTATTCAGAAGTGTTTACACAGTGGCGGCACTCTCAAAACTTGTAACGCTGAATTGGTGTAATACGACTCCACAAAATTCACTGATGCACGAGTTGAAGTATGGGTGTATACTATTAAAATATTGTCACACGTGACAGTTCCAGAAGAAGCACGAAAATCTAACTTTGTGTGATCCTGGGTTCCTGTAATTGTGTAATTAAAGTCAACAATGGACATAGGTAGCGACAATAATGGCGAAATTATTCAATATTTTAAAATTAAGATGCAACTGCCTGTGTTACCTATTTTACCTATATTGCTCTGGATAAATACTGCAAATCTGTGTATATGTGGATATACAACTTGCATATTTCAATAATATATCTTCAGTACACCATTCCGTGGGCATCGCCAGGAAGAGGGGATCGTTAGGTTCGAACTCCCTCCTCCTTTGAACCTAAACTGCATTTTATGGTCACTGAGAATTAAGTCTAATGCTTCAAAAACTGCCGAAAGTGGCGTTATATCTTGAAATTCATGGCCTCTTTTATTTGCTAATGTACTTCAATGCTACTGACTCACGGCTTGCTTAAGCCTACATGTGTTACTGATTTCAGAAACGATCCCCCCAACACCACCATCTGAAAACTCCTGGCGACACCCATGTATTCATACTTTATTTTGACAGATTTATACTATAATGAGAAAAAACATTGTCGCACTTTAAAGCCACAGTGAAATTTCTTGTTGTTTATGTGAATTTCTAGCAATGATAATATCTCGTGAACCAATATTTCAGAAGACTTTCAAAAGTTACTAAATGTTTTTCGTCATTTAAGAAGTTGAGTAATAATAACACATAACACAGGTTCCCAATCTTTCTGGTGATATACAAGAATCTTTAAAAACATTAACAAGCGAGAACCTTTGAAAAACATTAACAAGAAAATAAACCCCGCACCTCTTAATTGGAGAACAGTCTCAGTGAGCTACCAACGTATTCCACTAGCCAGCATTCAACTTTCGCGTGTTTTTGATTCACCCTTGAATGTAAGCGGTAGCTTTTTATTAATAAAAACCACTAAAACGTTAATTTTTAAACTAATTATATTCGTCAGGGGTATATGTGCAGTTGGTTGAAAGGTATGACTGAGGGTAGGCGGCTTGAAAAGGGTGGGGATCATACTGACATAGAGTATGCAGCGTCAGACGTGTTAATCCCGAGCTTTGATGTGGTTCTAAGTAGTGAGTAATTGGGTTTTTAATAACTACTTTCGATCAGTTATCATTCTGCTTATCCCACATATACGCGATTTTCGATCTGGTATATGTAGTTCGTAGACAAAATTCAGTGATATTAGGCCTACACAAGCAAACCATTAGAGTTGGTCATGTAAAATTTTCTGTGTGCTCAATAATAGTTAACTCACGTTTGTTCAATATGAAAATTGTGCTGGCAACGTGAGAAATAAGTGAAATACTAAATCGATCACATGTTGTTACCAGAATATATTTATTAAATCTAGCAACTAATAACACATACATTAGTGAAACTTTCAAAACCCAGTAACTCCTATAATATATCTGTTTTGTAACACATATTAAGGCTCCTTTCCCTACCATAAACCTTGTTGTTAGTACAAGTAGATCTCAACACCAGTCTTCTCATATAGATATTTTGTTGCCAGTCTCTGTAGGTCTGTCTACTAGCCTTTTTATACTTATATTTTACTATCGATATACATAGGTCTACCAACGAAACTTCTTATGCTATTTTCTGTGGTCAGTGTTCGTAAATATGTTTACCCTTTTTCTCATGTTAATATTTTGTTGCTGATACCTCATGCATTCTATAGGTCTCTGAGGGAGAAGTTTCAGAGTAGTCGTCTCATAAGAAGTATATCCAGTGGAAGTTATAACATACTACACCACCAGGGGGATAACATCCGTGACGAATTAGAACGCCTCGTGGAAGAAACACCGCCTCCACAGCAGCGTCCCCTAGCTCGCCAGTCCATCCAGAAGTCCCATAGTTCGGATGCCGTCCTCGAGTCTGATAGTGAGTCGTCCACGCCTCAGCACAAGCTCCGACCCCGATCGGAGGCTCTTCCCTTCAAGGATCAGAGTGCACTCTTTGATGAAGTAGTCAGTAATAGCCCAGATAATCGATGTTTAAGACAGTTAAGAACCTCTCAAAGTGTATATCAGTTCTGTTGGACAAGCGATGAAAAAGTAACCAATGGGGATTCCAGCGCTGCCAGTCATGATACTACATTCCCACAAAACGTATCTTCCAATAAGCTTGTACAGGGTGATCTAGGTTACCATGGTAGCCAGTACACGTCAACACGAACTTCGCGTCTTATCTATGAAGGGCCACTTTCAACAGTTCGAGATGTAGAGGAAGAAAACAGCGAAGCTAGTGTCATCAGTGAAGTTGACCATCAGCGGATCAGTTTGGAACCTGCCGGTGATCTTCTGATTGAGTTCGAAGATCCTGACCATTTAGAGTCGGAGAGACCAAAGTCCAGCGGATATACGTCATGCGCCACACTTTCGGATCTAACATCACAACTATGTACCCCTAACGTTGAAAGTCGCGGTTTTCCACATTCTGTGTCTCAATGTTCTGGCTACCACTCTATAACTGAAGAGGAAGCAATTGGAAAGGACTCTCATCGTGAATTTGCTGGATGTCTTAACTCGGCCAAGTCTAAAAAGAAACCATTTCGAAGTCGCGAATTTCCTTTTGAACTCAAAATGCTCAATCTGATCGAAAATCCAATGTCAGGGCTAAATGTCAAACAAAATGTTGCAGCTGCTGGTAAAGGTCGATCGCGCTCTTGGGATAGAGCATCTCATCGTAAAGACGTTGTGAGTTATCCACTCTACTCCAAAACCACAACGTTATCTGAGCCCAGAGAGAAGGACAAGAAAAAGATTTCGCTTCGAGAGGTCACAAAGCGAGATAGGCAGTCAAAATCGCCACTGAAAAAGTGGACAGTATCCGGAAGTCCGGGGAGGTCAAGAATTGAACAACATAATTGGGAACTTTGCATGTATGTTTTTGGAGGTCGCGAACGTGGAGCAACCACTGTTGATAGGCAACCTATCCCTGTCTGGAAGCTTTATGTTTGATCCTTAATGTTCAGTATTGTTAAGTATTCGTGATTCAATAGCTGGTTCGGCTTATGTATGACATCTTAGATACATTGGATTTTTTTTTTTTAATTCTCGAAGTTTTCAAAGTTTGTAAGCACCATTAACATAAGATCCATTCACCGTACTACCAAACACTACCAATTTAATAGTCTGAATAGTTTTATCAAACTTTTTTATGTTGGAAACACAAGCTGGTATGGACGCGTATGCTGCCAGCAGAAATATATAAAAAAGTGTCCTATACATATCTGCTACATACCACTTTTGTTTCGCTTCAATAGAAAATGCCGTTCTTATAGTATAGAAAACACGGTCAAAAGCTATAGTTTTAAATTTTAATTACAATTTGATATCATTTTAATTAAATGCATTTCACGTACACAGTTATTAATCCTATCGAACCAGCACCGTCCGTGATATTTTAAACATAATTCATATACCACAGAAAGCTTTTATCCGTTTTTATTACTGTTGTATTACCATAACTGGAACAACAGACAGTAACAAGAATAAACTCTGGTAGAGGGACGAGAAAACAATAATAGCAGAGAGGACTTTAACGCCTCAATAATAATTCTGTCTTCCAGAGTATTAAAAAACAAAGTTCTTGGGATATCAAACTTATAACTTTTTTTTATAAAGTATTTATAAAACTACAGTTATAAACATTTCCCATTTTCCATCTAGAGATAGCTTTAAAAAAATCTCAATATTTTATGAATATTGGACAATTTAAAAATATTCTTTTAACATGAACTAGATTTTTGGGGAGTCAAATTATCGAAAAGTTTTCATAATTTTTCCATCCGATAAACTAACAGTAACGCAATTATATTTGTGAGCAATTTTACTAACAGTGAACACTTGAAAATCCACGAAGTTTACTTCTACGTTTGAAAAAAAAACACAGTAGTTATACATATAACGCTGAAATTAGCAGTCAAATCAATATTATAATTTGTAGAGCATTGTTACTGATGAAACTTTGAACAACTGATAGTAACTTAAAATGAACAGTGTTAAACTAAACACTTGACTGTGTACAAGTAATGACACCCCAGCTTTTCACTGTAAAACTGAGTGACACACTATTATTTGAAACACAGTAACAAGATCAGGAATTATCATATTTAAATAATTAGATAAATCATGAGCTCTAAATTATTGATATTTTGATATGTCGTGAGAGATTACGCACCCAAAATACACCGAACAATGTCTAATTGTTAATAACAAAAGAGTTGACTAATGGCAAAAAAAAAGACGTGTAAGTGTACATCTAAGGATTTTATAAGTTTTGTAATGTTCGAAAACTAAATGTTTCTGTTGTACGATTTCGAATAAAATTCTGAAAAGTTTTAATATCTTCCATGAACAACAAATGTCTAGTGTTGCTTTTTCTGTGAGCTGTCACAAAACAAGGCCAAATTGATTAAAATGTTATTAACTATTCACTCATTTATTGCCACTCAGCTTCACTTTATCAGCTGGCTTTATTAAAACTTGTCGTTGGTTATGACAGGGGAGTTTTTAGAATCAGCAAAAGCACAGGCTCCCCCCCCCTTCCAATTGTGGAGTCTTTTACTATTCTTAATAAGATATTACATTTCAATCTAGTCCCTTAGGGATTTTCAAGTAATTAAAAG